TGTAGTCAGTCACTATGGGGAGGTCAAGGCAACAGAACCTGAAATAGCCGGCCACATCACGTCCATGGGCTAGCGCAGAGAGGAACGGATACACACGTGCTCATTGCTTGTTTGTGCCCTGCTTGACTTCTGCACTCAGTTTAGGACCACACGCCTAGCCCCACCCACAGTTTCCCATAGCCATGCCCTCAGGTCCAATCAGTGTACATGGTCCCTCACTGAGACTCTTCCTAGATGATTCTAGGTTGTGTCAAGTTGACAAAGCTAGCCATGACGAGAACTCTAGCAGCTTCAGGAATAATAGAGAAGTCCCACTGGTCTGAGGACCACAGCACTCCTCAAAAAGCAAAAATCAGGTCAGGTTGGTGTCACAGTTGTGATACCACATATTGCCAAGCCAAAGCCAGGCTCTCTTCAAATATAGTTCTGTACCAGTAACCATTTACCCATTAATCTACACATTGTTCTCACAGTCCAGCGGCCAAAGGGAATGGCTGCAATGGTAACAATGTGGCTCCCAACGTCAGGTGTTTCACAGGAAAGCTTCGTCTGGTCTACAGTCCTGAAGTGCTCTGAGACAAGGGCAGAGTCCACAGGGGACCATTTAGACCCAGGCAGAGCTTTGCCCCTTGCATGATGCTCTGAATCCTCTGGCTCCATCTTTTCCTTTTTACGTGTGGACATCCTGCTTGCTGTCTTCTCCAGGGCTCTGAGGTGCTTCCCATGGCTCAGATGACAGCAGGCACAAAGCCTGATAGTCTTTTCTCTGTGGCATCTTTCCTGTCTGCATTCTGAAAGCTGCTCAGGGCGTATTGCCGCTATTCTTTCCCCATATTTGGAAACTGACTCTAAGTGCGTTTTTATCTGAACACCCCACAGCAGGACAGACATCCTTCATACCTTCATCTTTCAATACGAAATGCTTTTGTTTTGCCTGCTTCCTACTTCCTGACCTTCCTGACCTTTCCAGTATTTACTGTGTCTGACCCTGATGTATCGCAGGGCCCTAGCACGCATCCTCTCTCTGGCTCCTCCCATTCTCCAGGGTGATCTCTGCTGTAGTACTCTGGGCTTCAGCTGTCTGTGTACCTTCAGGACCTGAACCACAAGCCAGACTCTTCCTTTCCTCTGACCTGTTACTGTGTATCACCACCAGGCTCTTGACTGGAGGCATCTTGTGCCAGCCTCTCACCTTAGATCTGCCTCTGTGTGTCCTCTGTACAGCTTTGTTGTTTTGCCAAGGTGTTTTTGATCATGTTCTTTACTGGTGTTTTTCTGCTGTGTAAAAGAGCTGGGGTCCTTTATAGTTCTGTTGCTGACTAACATTTTGTGTTCCCCAGAGCCTCTGTTAAAGACTATCATAGATCAGAACAAACTCCACAGCAGGGATTTATTCTCTCCTTGATCCATAGACTGACTCTAAGGGGCGGTGCTGACAGAGATTCGAGGGGATGGTAGACAGAGGCCTCTAATCTCTGCCTTCATCTCACCAGGCTCCCTCCTGTGGTCTGTCTTTACCTGCCATCAGTTTTTGGGCTATTCCTACATTATATGACCTCATGAGACCTAACTGTATTTGCTGAGACCATATTTCAAACACTTTCAGATTCAAGTTTCTTGGGGGTTTGTTTGTTTGTTTTTAATTTATTTACTTTATGTGTGTTTTGCCTTTGTGTGTGTCTGTGCACCATGTGCTTTGATTTCTGATTGTTAGGCTGTGTAGTCTTTGGGAAGGTGCTGCTATTTGAACCATTGTCGGGGAGGAGGGCATCCTGTGCACTGCCTGCCACAGAGCAGACGCCCAGGAATATTTTTGAGTCCACATCCTCATCCACGTTTGGTGCTGTAAGGCAAGGGTCTTATCCCTTGGGGAGCGTTGTTTAGCTGCTTGCCTGGATCTTTGTCTTAGATGAAGAAAGAGTTGGACCACAGAGGGAGGTTGTTCTGGATCACCTCCATCTCCTTTCACACAGAGGTCATGTAACCACAGCCTTAAAGTACGAAAGCTCCAAGGTGCAGACGAACAGCTGCTTGGCTTTCCGTGAAGGGTCTCACTGTCTTGGGAAGAGCGCATTGCTGGCCAACTGGGACATTGTACTTTAGGATGCAGTCAGAGCCTTGAGTGATGTGCACCCCAGATCCAGCATAGAGCAGATAGCACTGATGGCAAAACTTTCCCCTCAGACACCTCGGCTATTCTTGATTTGGTGAAAGGATTGTGAAGGCTGTAATTCAATGCTTTTTGGATTTGTATTTCAGTTGAATTGAGTTGACTGCCTTGTTGAAGCATGCAGAATGGTTTCTGTATTTTTGATGTGGGTCAGAGAATTTAAGTCTAGGGAAAACCAGCAAACAAGGCTTTCCTACTATACATTCCTGCAGAGGTAACCAGAGTACAAGGACATTTAGGAAAACCACTAACACTCTCCATGTAACACCTTTAAACATTCATTTTCTAATTACAGTGAACTGTGCTCTGCTGCCCACTGGGCTAGATGCCACACTCCTGGGGTGTGTTAAACAAACTGTACATTGTTACTTTAGGGGAGTAAAACTCGAGGTAAGTACATACTTCAAATAACCTCAAAGCAAGCATGACTCATAAAAATATTTCAGAAGCCCAAGTTAGAAATATTTCTGCCACAGGGCCAGAGAGATGGCTTAGAGGTTAAGAGCACTGGCTTCTCTTCCAGAGGTCCTGAGTTCAATTCCCAGCAACCACATGATGGCTCATAACCATCTGTAATGAGATCTGCTGCCCTATTCTGGCCTACATGCATACATGCAGGCAGGATGCTGTATACATAATAAATAAACAAATTAGAAAGTGGAGGGGGGACTGACTGAGACTTCTGCCACCTATGGTTTCCAGAGAAAGTGCTTGACTGTCTCAGTGCTGGAAACCACATGGGCTTCAGTTCATCTTTATGATAGTGACTAGACAAGGATGGAATGAACACAGCCAACTGTAAACTAAACCATCCCTAGTGTAGATCAGTGATGTCCAGCCTGCAGTGTGCACCATTGTGTGTCAGTGCCTTGCAGATCAGGCTAACTTTGAAAGGCCCTGTCTTGTGCGAACCCCAAAGTACAGCCAAGTGGAGGTTGATGCAGAATTTGGGGCCATTTAGGTTTCCTTCTCTGTTTTTTTCTGCATTGAGAATTCTCAGGAAGAGCTCATAGGGGCTTCAGAATGTCTGTGAACCGATGATTCCCTACTTCCCATTAACTTCTACTAGAGGTTAACCTTGAAACTCACGTGTAAGAGACATTGGGCAAGGGTTTTGCTACCCAGGGAAGTCACATTCTCTCTGAATGGAATGTGGTTCTCTCATCTCTGCCTTAGAACTGTAATAGCTATGAAACCACTGGACCCTGTTTCAGAGTTACTAACAAAAGCACATGCAAGTTGGGTTTTTCATACCTTGATAACTGTATCAGCACAACCCATTTCTTTTGTAAGCCTGTATGTGTTGCTTCATGCAGTTAAAGACAGAAACAAGTGAAACATTATTTCCATGAAAACCTAGCACAGCCCAAGGAGTTTTGACAAAACCAAGGGAACCATGAAACCACAGCAGCTGCAGGGGTAATGGGCACCTGGGGCCGGGTCTTAGAGCAGGAAGGACAGTGCCACAGAAAATCTCGTGAGATCCAAGCCAAAGCCTGAGATTTTATACTTCATAGTAATGCATCAGTTACATGTATGCTGTGGAAGTATAAGGTATTCAGTGGAAAGCAGGCAGAGTGCTAGGAACGAGCCTCAGTCTCCGACTGCAGGCACAGTTCAGGGCTGGCGCAGGGCCTGCCTGCTCCTATGTGTGTTCAAGGAGAGGATATTGTGTCCAGTCAGAATGACCCTGATATCACTACAGTGAACTGTAAAACTAGGACAGTGTCATGAAATGCTGCGTAGGGCATGTAGAGTTGTAGCTTGGGGGTCATCGTGTAACTGGGTCACTTGCCAGCTTTGTGATCTGCAGCTAGAAACCGCTCCCAGCTTCCCCTCCCTTGTTCTGACAGGAGTGATCCTCACAGGACTATGGGTAGATAGAAGACTGAAAGTAGGAGGCCCTATGTTGGTATTTCCTGATGATCTCCAGTGCTCTTGACAGGCCAGGCACAGCCATGTTTAGTTTCTTTTCCTGAGTGATCGAGTTTCATCTTCATGATGCCTGTATCACATGACCACTTTAAAGAGGGAAACTGAGGATCAGGGGCCCCATAACCTCACTGCCCAAACCACAAGGTGGGGCTTCAGTGGAGCTCAGTGCTGTGATCTTCTGGTTGAACTAGTTGCAGATCCCCCTTTACTGCCTGACATCCGAGTCCCCTCTGGCCTGCTCTGTGTGTCCACCAGTCCTGGAGCCTCACTGTGATTGTTACTGAGGTGTCTCTGCACAGGACACTATCCAAGTGTAGAGTGACATCAGCGGTGAGGGTCTCTCCCTCCACATCCTGCAGCTTTTAGATGCTTATTCCAGCCAGTTTACAGGATAATTACCAGACCACGGAAGCCGGGATTGGTCATAATGTTTCTTTGGCATTTTCCCAGTTTCCAAAGAAGAGAAAAGCAAAACAAAAAGCTAGAGCTTTAAATCAGAACAAATGAGAAGGAAAAACCAGCGCAGGCCACTGTGACATCTACTTGTTCCTTAATTAGGGCTCTGATGAGGAACCATTCTGCAGGACAGGAGAGTGTACTTATTTTCTTTTTCTGTGATTAGAAGGAAATATTATTTATCTCAGTGTAGTCACCACTTCCTTCCAGCTAATGTCTATTGAATGGAAAGGTTTCAACTCTGGGTCAGATATCTACACAAGCATTAATCAACAGACAACAAGCTGGTATCCATGAGTGACGTGGGAATGCTCATGTGTCCCCGAAATGAGGACAAGAGCAGTTCCTGGCAGAGTCAGAAAGTTTCCAAGGAAACTGATGGTGGCTTGTTCTTGCTCTTCTGAGAGGGGCACTTACCATGCTGGCTCTTGCTTTTCAGTTCTTCCCCTACATCCTGCTGCTGTTTGCCATACTCCTGTACCTGCCTGCACTGTTCTGGCGCTTCGCAGCGGCTCCACACCTCTGCTCAGATCTGAAGTTTATCATGGAGGAACTTGACAAAGTCTACAACCGCGCCATCAAGGCTGCCAAGAGCGCTCGAGATTTGGACCTGAGAGACGGACCTGGACCCCCAGGAGTGACTGAGAATGTGGGGCAGAGGTAACGGCTCTAGAGGGCTGTCCATGGCCACCCTAGGATCAGTTCCCTGCTCTTTTTTTCTGCTATGCTGGCCCAGGGTGCTGATTGCCAAGAGTGGGAAGGGGGTAAGTAGGGTATCAACCATCAAGTGACAGGACCCTGTTCCCTCACTTGACCTCAGTGTCCTCAGGTCAGTGTTCTTTCCCTGTCCAGTCTCATCCTTTGAAAAGCAGTTCTCACAGGGGTGACAGGTCAAAGTCTCACCTGTAGTATAATAGGAAGGTACAGAGGATTCTGAGGCAGCCAAGCCTGTAAAAAGGATGAGAGAGCTGGACCCAATGGGTAGAGGTCTTCTCTCACACATTCTTCCTCGGGTCCTGTCATTGCTAGTAGTAACATAGTAGCAACAGCTGTCTTATTTCTAAAAATACCCGCTATATTCCTATCTTAGGATTTCTGTTGCTGTGGTAAAACTCCATGACTGAAAGCAACTCGAAGGGGAAAGATTTATTTTGACGAACAGTTCACCATTACAGTCCATTATTGAAGGAAACCAGGGCAAGAGCTATGAGAGCCAGCAACACTAACTCTGCCATTTGGGCCCACCAAGTGTCCTCTACCCTCCCTGATAGAAGTGTATGTGTTCTAGGTGGGCAAAAAATGTCTTTATTTTTCATATTAGTGAGGAATTGTTGTTTAAAAAACAATAGTAAGGCAGCATATGCTTGCCCTGTTTTCTGTCAATAATGGACTATAATTGTGAACTGTTAGCTAAAATAAATCCTTCCCCTTCAGAGTGCTTTTGGTCATGGAGTTTTATCACAGCAATGGGAACAGGACAAGCAGGATGGGTACCTGGAGGCAGGATCTGATGCTCAGGCCCTGGGGAAGTGCCGCTTACCGCCTTGCTCTTAAACTGTGGTTCAGCCTGCTTCCTTATGGCACCGAGGATGGCCAGTCCAGGGTTGGCACTGCCCACAGTGACCCAGGCCTCCCACAACAGTCATCAATCCAGAAAATGCAGCACAGGCCTGTCCACAGGCCAGCCTGGTGGGAACCTTCTCTCAATTGAGGTTCCTTCTTATAAAACGACTCTAGCTTGTGTCAAAGGTGACATAAAACTAGCTGTCACAGTTCCAGACACTGAGTTTGAGTGCAGCATTATTAACTAAGTGCATTTATTTGCCTCTTTCTTTCACCCTTTTATTTCTAGATAATAGATAAACACTGTTCTGTATAGCCTCTTGTGAGAGAATCAGGGACCCGACCTATGCCATCTGGTTCCCTGAGTGTCCTCCACCCTCCCGGGTAGACGTGTGTGTTCTAGACAGGTTGGAAATGTCTTTACTATTTTTCATGCTTAGTGGGAGATTGCCGTTTAAAAACAGTTAATAGACCACCAGCTGCTCTTCTAGATATGAGAAATTTATTTAACAATCATTCAACTGCGGGTACGAGGCATTATTAAGTATTAACTCATATTTAATCAAGCAGACTGTCTTTAAAATATTAAAAGGGGGCCTGGAGAGGTGAGTTAGCAGCTCAGGGCACTTGCTGCTCTCGCAGAGGCCAGAGTGTTGGTTTCAGGGGATCTGACATCTGCTCCTGGCTTCCGAGGGCACCGCACACATGCAGGCAAAGCACTTGTATACAATTTTAAATGTTTAAAAGATTTAAAGGAAAAGGGGGTTTTGATTGTTTGTCTTGGTTTTTTGAGACAGGGTTTCTCTGTGTAGCCCTAGCTGTCCTCTGTAGTCACTCTGTAGACCAGGCTGGCCTCGAACCCAGAGATCCTTCTGCCTCCCAAGTGCTGGGATTAAAGGCGTATACCACTACTGCCTTTAAAAAAAGGTTTTTGAGCATGGTTTTATTACCTAGCACTCAGATGAAGTTATAGTTAATGTGTTTGAAATTTTCAGTGTGACAGTGTTGAATATGTCCATGCCTTTCACTTTTGATAAACACTGTTTATCAAGTGACTGGCAAGGGTCTCATCATTATTTTTATTTGCTTTGTTTTCTAGTCTGTGGGAGATATCTGAAAGCCACTTCAAGTACCCAATTGTGGAGCAGTACTTGAAGACAAAGAAGAACTCGAGTCATTTAATCATGAAATACATTAGCTGCCGGCTGGTGACATTTGCGGTTATCTTGCTGGCTTGTATCTACTTGAGCTATTACTTCAGCCTCTCCTCACTCTCGGACGAGTTTCTGTGCAGCATCAAATCAGGCGTCCTGAGAAACGACAGCACCATTCCCGATCGCTTCCAGTGCAAGCTTATCGCCGTCGGCATCTTCCAGCTGCTCAGCCTCATAAACCTCATAGTGTATGCTCTGCTGGTTCCTGTGGTCGTCTACACATTCTTCGTCCCGTTCCGGCAGAAGACAGACGTTCTCAAAGTATATGAGATCTTGCCCACGTTCGATGTTCTACATTTCAAGTCTGAAGGCTACAATGACTTGAGCCTCTACAACCTTTTTCTGGAAGAGAACATAAGTGAGCTCAAGTCATACAAGTGTCTTAAGGTGCTGGAGAACATTAAAAGCAACGGGCAGGGCATCGACCCCATGCTACTTCTGACAAACCTGGGCATGATTAAGATGGACATCATTGATGGGAAAATTCCCATGTCCCTACAGAGCAAGGGAGAGGACCAGGGCAGCCAGAGAGTGGAGTTCAAAGGTAGGGTTGGCTCTCTGGGCAGGCACACCTTTTCAGCAGTCTGAGTAGTCTTTGCCCTGCCTGTCACTTGAACCCTTGGCCCAGTGTAATCCTGGAGGAGCCCAAGATTGACAGGGTACAGGAACAGATTGGTGTTATACCATCCAAAGAAGGATGACTCTGTTCTCTTCTCCCTGTCTTCCTCTCAGCCTGGTCTGGTTGCTCTTGTCTGTGTCATGTGTGTGGTCTCATGCTCCACCTCTGTTTCTAGCACCCCTCATCTTTGTCTCGTCTTCCTGTCTGTACCTCTGGTCTCTTTGTCCTTCTCTGTTATTTGTTCTTTGGCAATTTCATTCATGCTTACAGTGTATCTTGATCATATCCAGCTTCCCCTATATGTGTGTACCCCATATTTCCCATTCCCACCTTCATACAGTCTTTATGTTTTGTGACCCACGGAGTTCAGCCTGTAGGGATGCTGGCTGATCATGTTGGCTCTGTCTTGTGTAGCTGAGCTGTCCTGAGCCTATGAGCCAGGCCATGTCGTGTTCAGAAGCCAGCCTTTGACCCCCTGGCCCCTAGCTCTAACATCATTTCCTCTTCATGGATGTTTCCTGAGCATTGACTTAGGGGACGGGGGTTGGAATAGAGGTCCTATTTAAGGCTGAGCACTCAGCCGCCATTTTACTTGCTCTCGGCACTTGGACCAGTTGTGAGTGTCTGCACTGACGGCTGCCCACTACAGGAGGAGGGTTCTCTGGCTGAGGGCAGCACCAACCTATGAGCACAGACGTATTTAGAAGGGACTTCTACCACATGTCCATTTAGCAAACTAACAGCAGCAGGTTCTCCTCTGGAACCTGGGATCTCGAGCTGTGGGCCATGTTTACTGTCCATGTGAGTCTCCTCCAGGGGAGCAGGCCTCGTACGTAACCAAGAGAGCAGCTGCTTACTCCCCAAGTCACTCTCTGACTCTCTTGCTTAAAAGAGGGCGTTTCTGACTTCTTGACCCAACTTTCAGACTTTAGACTAAGCAGCAGCCATGGTAAAGGATGTGTTTGAGAAGTCGCCTCACAGTGGGTTGATACCAGTGCTTCCTACTATCCCTCCCTTATAAATAATGGCTTTAATTTTGACAGATTTGGAGCTGAACAGCGAGACTGCAGCAAACGATGGAGAGAAGAACTCTCGCCAGAGGCTCCTGAACTCATCCTGCTAATGGTTTAATTCTTGAATTTCAAGCCTATGGCTTCTGTGGCTGACGCACCCCTGTTGGATATGTAGCTAGTTTGCTGTAGATGTTTTGGTATTGGTGTAGTGTGTGTCCTACCGGTCTCTAATAGACATAATGGCCAACAGCATCATGGAAGAATAAATTAGGAACGTCTTACAAGACAGAATTGAAATGAGTAAGTGTGCTTTGTGTAAAGTCCTCCATGAAGGGCTGTCAAGAGCACAGAGCCTTCTAGAGCCTCAGAGAAGCACCGTTCTGGACTGGCAGAGCTTCTGGAGAGCAAGCACTTTGGAGGATGCTTTGTTTTCTGAGATAATAATAAACATGTTAGGATGTAATTTAATAATACCCTCTGTGTGCCCTTACTGACTGTTGAACAAGAAAAGCATTCACTGGCCTACCAGGGAAGTCGGCCTGTATGTGACAGTGGCCTAAGTTGGCTGTGACCTGTGTCTGGGCTCCTATACAGGCAAGCTGTCCTGTTATTTACCAGCCACAGCTGATTGTTGTCCTGTCAACACTGCTCGATGCCCTTTGACCTCTGTACGGACAGCAGCCTGAGGCAGTGCCGAGTGAACCCAGTGCTGACTGAACCCAGCTAAGGAGACGGAGTCGTGCCATGGTGACTCTTGGAAGGGAGGCTTCAGAAACCTTCCCAGGGGGAACCCCGAGTTTAGAGGTTATCGATAGGTGTCGAGCTATCTGAGACAGGAGAACAAGATTTTACTGATGCACCTAAAGAGAACACAGCAAGAGGTACTTACTTTGTCCAGTGAGAACAGAACACAGAACTGATCCAACAGTGACCTTGGCCATTTGTTTAAAATCAGATTGTTTAAATTTAAGCCCAACTTTTAAAATTGCACATTAATTTATATATTTGAAGTCATTTGAGGAGAACATTTCAGCCCTGATAAGGATTTCAGAGTAAGTTGTACATACGGGAGGTTAGAACAGATTCGGGCATTGCCTTGTAAACAGTTTTGTTTGGTGACACGGTCCCCTCCCACTCGTAGCTCAGCCCTCCATCAGACTGTCATCAGTCTTCCATCAACTCAATGTCCCACGTGTCAGGGCTACAGGTGTGAGCCCTGGGCCTGGCTTTAGAAACATGCATGCTGACTTAGAAGTCGATAACGCCTGACTACATTCTGGCCACATGAATGTGTTATATGTTCACATTTTATCATGTTTAAACGGAAGTCCTCAGGAACCTCTGAGGGCAATTGTTCACCTAATCTAACTGCCTTTTGGTGAAGTCAGAAGTTACATAAGTGGTTCTCTGCCTTTGGGAGTGTACAGAAAAGCAGGTTTTGCTTGTACTTTCCAAGTTGGAAAGCTAATATCAGAAGTGTACTAGGTACTCGGAATGGCACTGTCCCGTGGTATTTCTTTCTGTTGAGTTATAGTATGACTGAGAAACCGATTTTGTATATTTTTATATTGCCATGTCTGAGATATTCCGTTACAATTCTCTACTGTGTATGTGTGGCTTATCTTTTTTTTTTTTTTGTAGCTTCAAAATGACCTTTAAAATATTTTTTTTTAGCATATAGATTTTTTTTTTTAAAAAAGCTTCGTCCTTTTTTTTTTTTTAAAATCATTCCATTCGTTTACATCTCAAATGACATCCCACTCCCTGGTTACGATTTGTCTTTCTTGTAGCATACTGTAACATGTACTTGGAGGCAGTAAAAATTGATGTTTTATTTTAGAAGACCAGGAACAGTCTGAGCTAATCATGTGAACCCTTCGGTCAGAGTGTGCTGGGGGTCCTCAGCCTGTTTCATCTGGCCCTTCCCTTCTCACCCTGAGCTCCTGGAGGACCTGCAGCATCCAGACATCACTCTTGGTACTTGCTGTGACCGATGCGCAGACAGGTTGTATTTTGAGGGCATCAGAGTGTAGCAACAGGTAGTAAAGACATAGGTGAGCACTAAGAGACAATAAGAAACCACAGAAAGTAGAAACCCCTCTGAAGTGTTGGGAGGAGCCATATTGTCTGGTCCCCTGGCCTGAGTTCCACAGATGGTGATTTATGGGGTCTGGTATTTTCCTAGAGGCCGATGACTACTTCAGCCATAAAGGCTCTCTAAGTTGAAGTTTAGATAAAGTAGGACCTGTGGTTTTGAGCAGCTGGGTTTAGCTTACCTCTACTTCCCTTCCATAAGGGGAAGCCCGTGGGGCCCATGGTGGTCCAAGGGCCTGGTATACCAATGCCCAGCAGTGCGTTTTGGCCTAGAGGTCAGCCCTTCCATCTGGTGACCTGGTGGCTTGAAACACTTCTCTAGTGATGATAGGCATTCCTTTGTAAGCACTCATCCTTTTCTTACAGACACACACAGACCCTAAATGACCACCCTGGGGCCACTAACCTCGTTTCCAGCCTTAGTGAATGACTTTGTTCCTTAGTGGACTACTGAGGCTTGCAAACCAGATCCGCACAGTGGTGTGGCAGTGGAAGCAGCACAGATCATTCTGGAAGCAGGGTTCTGGCACATTTGCGGCTTACCAAGGGACACATAGATGCCCTCCAGCTCTGGATGGAGGCTACTTTTAAATCTACAAACACATATTTTATTGTAGCTTGTGCTTGCCAAAGTGTAAGTAAGCCTCACACCGAGCAGAGCATACCTTGCCCTTGAGAAGGCTCCTGCTTTCGGCCTCAGACTTTGTTTAATTGGGTCATGTTTGCATTAGTCACCTTTTCTAGAGTCAGACTCAGCAGAGTCAGTCAGAGGGAGGCGGGCAGCCCGTGGCCAGAAGTGACTAGGCAGCCAGCGTTGGTCTTGTTTTCTTTGGAGCCCTTTTTTTGTTTGCTTCCCTGTTCTGCATCTCTGGAGTGTAGGGAGGAAGGGGACAGCATACCACTTACAGGGCATCACCCTGCTTCCCAGTGGCACTGTTAGGGGCTAGACACTTCTACGTGGTTTTGTGCATCTGGTTTGCATGTATGTTTTAACATGTGGAAAGGCCTGTTATGACATACCCTTTCCCACCCAAGACCCTGACCCCATGACTTTGTGCCTGTGACAGATGGATGGATACACCTCTCAGGATACACATCCTGCTTGGTTTAATCTGTATGTGTCAGAGCAGCACAAATAGATTGACAAAGGTCAGGAGCTTTGATTTGCTGCTGTATCGCCAACTCTTAAATCAGACACCCAGGCACTCTGTAAACGTGGTGAGTGAGCAAGCAGGGAAAACAGCAGGGAGTCCTGTCAGTTGGCATTTAGGATCTGATTTAAAAGGCACGTGGTCTTCCACAGGAGGAGGGCAGTGGGAGGGCTCATTCCACTGACTGTAGAAGGCCATGCTGCCTGCAGGAGGGAGTTCACAGCCTTTTTGTGAATACTGTCGATTCTCAGCTCTTGAGGTTGGATGAGTCAGGATCACTTTCCAAGTTCAGCATGAGTTCACGGCTCTCTTGCAGTGACTAGGAAGTGGGTGTCTTAAGGTCCTGGTCTCAGCAGTACAGAGTAAACCTCTTAAAGGAGCTGTGGGCTAAAATGTGCAATTACCAATTAATGTTTTGTCTGCAGGCACTGAAGATGAACAGCTCCTTCGGGGCAATCATTGGTATTTCAGTCTTATTTCTCGCAAGAACAGTGAAACCGTCTTAGAAGAGTGACAGAGATGCTATTGTGTCAGATGTGGAGTATAATAGGTTCTAATGTGTAGTTGGTTTTCCTGCCTGCATTAAATTAGATGTATTGTGTTTCTGGATCTCTTTTTAGCTGTGAAGTTAGTTGTCACTGAAGCATGTAGATTTTAATCAGTAATTGTTCTTAGGCTCCTGAAACTACAAAATTTCTTGTGTCTTGAGGTACTTTTTTCCTTGCTCAACCACAGGAGAAAATTGTAGGAGTCTGCAGTGTGTGACAAGTAATCCCTAGAAAAACACAGTCAGATCCACTTTCTCTCTCTATCTCTCTCTGTCTCTGTCTGTCTCTGGTGGTGGTGGTGGTGGTGGTGGTGTGCATGTGTATGTGTGTGTGTTTGAGACAGGATTTCTCTGTGTAGCCCTGGCCACAGAATTCTTCTATTGTTTTTGTTGTTATTGTTTTGAGACAAGGTTTCTCTGTGTAACCCTGGCTATTCTGGAACCCACCCCATAGACCAGACTGGCCTCAAACTCAGAGAGCCACTTGCCTCTGCATCCCTAGGTGCTGGGACTAAAGGCATGTGCCATATGCCTGGCTAAGTTAAATTTCTAATGATTACTAATGTTTATTTATCTTTATTTTCTTTTTATTTTTTTGCTGCGTCATTTGTTAAAAATATTGAGCCAATGAAGAACGGCTTTAAACACCTAAGTTCATCCTTAGTTTCATTCCACAAAGTCCAGAAGATGAGACCAAATGATGGTGTCAAGAACTGTATGAAAGTTTATTGTACTACTGAACTCAGTGCGTCCATGACAGGTGCTTAGAACTCAGTACTTCCATGGGAGGAGCTTAGAACTCAGTACTTCCATGGGAGATGCTTAGCCACACACACAGACATTCCTCTAAAGTCTGTTGTGTCTGCAGACAACAGCAAATGGTGCTTTTGTTCTGTGTTGTGATGTTTCCCTAAATAAAACCTTTTCTAAGTAACAAAGAGACTGGTTGTCTTGCTGTCTGTAGGAGTCACTTCACTGAAGATGGAGCCAGACGATAAGCCTTGAAGTGACTGAGGTTCATCCCTGTCTGGGAATGGGTGACATCAGGATACTTGCTAATTAATAGCCAGCTGGCAGTGAATGAAGAACGTCCTTGATGAAAGGCCACAGGCTGGTGTTTATAAAGTGTACTGTCTGGTGTGGAGCTGTTGGGACCATGTACCGACAGACATGAGCTGGCCTGCTCACCTCTACTGAAGGGAGAACGCATCTACAATAGAAATGAATGCATCTCATGGGTCTAATAAACCACAGCATGGAAAGTCTTAGTAGAGTTTCTAGCATGTGCTTCTCAGTCCTCAGCTGTTCCCCAGGGATCGGGATGTTGCGTTCATCTTCTATTGCTCCACAACAAATAACTGCGTACATAAAAGCTCAAAGCACCCATTGCTTATCTTGCAGCCTTCTGTATCAAGAGTTTGGACAGAGCTTAGCCAGGCCCTCAGCTCAGGGTCTCACAGTGTGAATCTATGAGAGTGACAGGTAGTGTTACCTGGGAGAGACTGAGCTGGAGAAACTGCTGACTAGTCCCTAGCCAGCTCCAGGCTTGTTTGAGTTCAGGCTTATGGCCCAGGCCCACCCTCCTATCTGAAATAGCCCTGTGCTCTGTTCCTTAATGGCCTTTCAGCCTTGGATACTGTGCTATCTTCTCCTTTCTATTCAACAATCAGCTCTAACTAAT